CCGCCCCAGCGGGGTCGGCGGATATGTTTGATGTATGTATATGCAGTGTTGTAATTGTTATACTTAGTGTGTTTCTTCCTCTTCTCCTCCTGTTTTTATTTTCCACAACATACTACATTTTGTTATAGATTTGCCTAGTATATCTTGCAGATTAAAGGATATCATATGGTATGTCATGTTTTTTGGTATTTTTTGTTATTCTGCTTTGGCAAAAATCAAGCCGGGAACATTTACTCCTTCTATGTTACATAGTATTGTTTCATAATGTAACATGTTTCAAGACCTTGTTATAACATATCATATTCATTTCATGTTGTATTTCAGTACTTTTTTGCTTTTGCATTTGTAATATCATATAAGTTATCTTACGTTCTGTATGTTATGCTATATCGTATTGTATTATCTTTTGTTCTACTGAAATATGTTTTATGACTTTATGATGTTATGTTATGCTTCGAATTGTTATTTTATGCTATGTTGCAGTGTAATGTAACGTGTTTTTGATATTGTATTGTATTGCATTGTGTTAACATATCCTACAGTATCTTGCTATACCAGACTGTATGCTGCTAGGACTATGAACTTCCACTATGTTCTGTTGCATCATATATTCTAGATGCATAGTTCGGCGCACAAAAGCAACACACATGCACACTCATGCAGATATGTATATATACAGCTACATATATACATGCACGCATATGAACATGCACAGACATGCACATACATTCATACATAGTAGCGGTTTGTATTTTTGGGGCACTACTTGCCGACATACAGTCATCGTCAAGTGCACCTATCGGTGGAGAGAAAGAGAAGCGGATTGCACAAGCTTCTGTTGCAGTAAACGTGAAAGGATGTATCTTTTTGGCTTACATATATATATATACAGTTATTCATCTGTATGTATGTTATATGCATTTTTTTACATATATGTATATGTATACATATATACATATATACACATGTATGCATGCATATGTATACATGCATTTCCATCTCTGTGTCTGTGTGTGTGCTTATCTACTAACTATCTAAGTATCTGTCCGTTCTTATTTCTATAAAGTTTAGCCATCTTCTTCTTAATGATGCCTGTTTGCTTGTGTTGCGGCACGTTGCACTTTATCCTCGTCGGGCTTCGTGCCATGTTTGCTGTGACAATATTTGTGAAGCGATCTCAACTTGTTCCACAGCATTTCGTGTTGAGCTCGTCAGGCCTTGGATACTTCTCAAGATGGAACCATCAGCGACTTGCTTGACTCGTCAAGTGCCATTTCCGGTCAAAGCTGCTCGCAACTAGGAATCTTAGTGATGCTACATCTGTTTGTTGCGGTGCTCCTTGGCTCTCAGGTGAAGAGGAGTTTAAACAGATGAAGACAGATCCCAATGTCATGGAGATCTTCTTTCGGCCATTCAGCTGTAGAGCATTGATGGGGCTCAGAAACCTTTGATTCCTGCATCAAGCTAAGGCTGGGCATGGAAGAGTCCGCGATCATCCAGCGATTAGATCACATGCAGGCAGGCCCGGGGAGCACAGCAGGTTTCAAGAAAACATGTCAGCATCTGGGTAGCTGTGTTCACATCAGCCTGGCATTGCTGCTGCTTGCCTCGAGGAGACAATCTTCGCTGTTGCCAAGAGCGATAATGCAGACGAGTCCTTCCTCACCGATTCGAAGGATCCAGCCTCCAGGAGGCCGCCGGGGCTGTGCACTGAGACATAAACTATGGAAGATAATCTACAGGAATAATCCCTACTAAATGTGAAATGACATCAGCCCAGTTTGGGTTGCAGAAGCCTGGTGCTCAAGTTCACTGCCATTTCTTTTCACAACTCTGCTGTTTGGAGCACCCACTTCGTTCCCAGGCCTCCGAGCATGTCCTTCAAGCAGTTTACGGATCAGGCACATGCAAGATGTGCCGCACGTGTTCCTGGGTGCTGAACGAGAACAGAGAATTCGGAATGCTACTGTCAGGTCGTCGATTTGCAAATGAACACATCTGCAGGGGTGTCTGTCTCGGCACCAGTCGAGTGCGTTGATGTTGATGGTACGTTCGACTGGCTCTAGTCGATCTCATGCATCAGATTTGACGACTGCTCTTTCTGGACTGTCCAGCTGAGGTGCTGGATGTTCAATCTCTGGCGGCCAAGGCAAGGGCCCAAGGCGACTTTCGAAAGTCTTTTGATGCTGGCTGTACTTGGGTGCCATTGTCACGGTCTGGCAAGACCCAAATTAAAGGACATGTGACATGGCACGACTGGGAAGACGATGCTTGTGGAGGTGCTGTTGGTGCTAAGACGCCATTGGAACCGCCTAGGGATCGTAGTGCCTAACGTGGAGACCCCTGACTCCTGTCTCTTTCGCTCTCTCTTTTCTGCCTTGTCTTCGCGTTTAGCTCAGGTTCGTGCAGAGGACCAGAAAATCTTGCGACTTGGGGGCAAAAATTCATGCGCCGTCAGATGCGTTTGGTTGCACAGTCCCCAAGTCGGCTGAGGACCGCGCTGGGCCGTTTGGAGCCGGAGCTGCGCCGCCTTCTTCAAGCGCCCCTGGACCCCAGCGGCACACGGGCGGATGCCACTCAGCCCGACTGTCTCAGTCCTGCGCTTTCTCGCTCGGTTCGGCATCTCTCGTCTCGCAGCTCGCCGCATTCGAATGCGCCTTCGCTCGGGCGTTTCGAGGAGGCAAAGAGAATACAGACGCTGAACCTGGCTTTAGAGGACTGCGTTGGAGTCTAGTGTCCAGGTCCAGATTGTGCTTGGCTGGGCGTGGCAGGACTCTACATCCGTGAGACCACAGTCTACTCCTATGGCGTGTCCGGGCCAGGCGGAAGCACGGAGATGTGTGATGCCTGCAGCGATCGAGCATCGCTCTTGCCAGGCTTGTCAAGCATCGCCGGCTCCACGCGAAGAGCCACTGCACGACCAGTCCGTGGCAGCCCGAGAGGGTCCAGAACAACGCGATGGTCGCCTGTTCCGACGGCGTGGTTTCGGGTCTCTCGGATCCCAGGTTCATCTTCCGGGATCACTGGAAAGCCGAGGGCTCCAAGCCGAGACGAAGGCGGGACCACGTGTTGCATTGGTGTCAGCGTGCCGTTTGATCTTGATTGTGACGGCATGCCGGCGAGTGCAGGGGCTTCAAGGGGGATAGAACGACATGAACAGTTTGTGCTGCAGGCCCTGGTATTGGCACATTCCTAAACATACACATCAGCACGTATGACCAAATGACGGATGGGAAGGCACGTCATGTAGGTTGTGCCCCAAAAATGGCAGCAGCGGTTTTTGTGCTGCGAGCTATTGCGTGAGGGGACGGGACTGAAATACAGAAGCAAAATCGGGAACTTCCCCTTCTTTTCACGGTCGATAGTAATGCCGCTTAGGGTTGCCTATCATTTTTTCAAAATATTTCGGCCTTGCCAACCATTAACCTCTACTGGATCCGGGATCCATCAACCCCGTTTAGGGGTTTAAGTATGCTGCCCCTGATGTACTGTGAGGATTTTGGATTTCCCGCCCATCAACTGTTAGATTTCGGGGTTCCCCGGATTGAGCAGTTTCGGGTTTTAAGGTCTACTCATCATCGCCTTGGAGGGTTTTGGCTTTGCCAGCCATCATCCACGATTAAATTTGGGGTTCTCGAGATCCAGTAACCAAGTTTAGGGTTTAAGTTCTATCAACCAGCTCTTTTGAGGTTTCGCTTCCTTCGATTTTGGGGTTCCGGGATCCAGCAAGCCCGTTTAGGGGTTTCAGGTCTACCCATCATCTCTTGTGAAGTTTTTGGGCTTTCCCAACCTATCAGCCACTACTCGAATTTTAGGGTTTAAGGTCTACACACCAACTCCTTTGCGGTTTTTGGGCTTGTGATCCATCAGCACCGGTCAGATTTTGCATTTCTCGGGATCCAGTAACACCGTTTTGGCTTTTAAGGTTTACCCATCATTTCCCCACCCATCAATCTCTATTCGATCTTGGGGTTCCGGGATCCAGCACACCCGTTCAATGTTTAAATTTTACCCATCATCTCTTGTCAAGGTTGTTTGCTTTGCCAAACCATCAGCCACTGTTGAATTTTGAGGTTCTTAGGGTTGAAGGTCTACACAACAACTCGTTTGAGGTTTTTGGGCTTGTCACCCATCAACCCCTGTTTTCAACATTTTCAACCATCAAGTCTTCGCCCACACCTTCAGCAGCGACGGCTTCACCCACAAAGGCATCGCCACCAGACTCGCCAAAGCCTGCAAACACTTCCACGCCCTTCACCAATTTTGGCGAAACACTAACCTGACATTGAAGTGGAAGCTGCGCATCTACGACGTAGGTCACGAGTCAGCACCGCTCAGCAGCAGTGACTACAATCGGCTTGAACTTTCCACTCCAGAGGCTTGACAAAGGTACCGCACGTCAAAAGCACATACTACACCGAAG